TTATTGGACAGAAGAGCTCGTCGATTCTTATTGACTGATCGTGACAAATCGTCGTTGGGGTGCGGCCCTCGGCGGATTGTCAGATGAGTAATGATGGCTTGAGTGGTACGCGCGCGTCGAGTTGTAGGAAAACAGAGTGTAAAAAGCGTGAACCGCAGAGGGTGCAGCAAAAACACGAGAGTAAAAGAATTAAGTGGTCTTGCCTTTTGCTCTACGATACGTCATCATTTGTAAACAGCACCGAGTATTTTATCCATCTGAAAATAATTATGTAATTGTTTCCTTCTTATAACTTTAATGTGAACAAAGAAATATTTGAAATATTACATTTCTTTTGAATTTTTCTTTGTTCCTTACGAACTTTCTTTGAAACTCTGGAAAACTATTTAATAAATCATATGCAATTATGTTGAACGGCAACATAAGTATAAAAAAATATAGAAACATTGAATAAACATCTTGCAATTTCCAATAATAATAACAAAGGGAGAAAAATAGACGAATCATTTTTATAATGTTCCAATAATAAATTCTAATATTACTTCTGATGTTTCTGAAATTTGAGAAAGGAGGCGCATCGCGCTTATCGCATCATGATACGATACCCCGTGGCTCGTTGTGTCTGCGCGACACTCTATTCCCTTTATACTAAAATTTTATCGCTAGTATAAAAGCCCTTATCGCGCTATCGTGCAAACGTACTGATTTGATAAGGTCTCGCTCGAAAGAAACGAAAGATGAGACCACGATGTCGTTATTCTCCATTAGACGTGCTCGTTCGATCAAGTCGAGATCCCATAAGTCATGTAATAAAAGTATGAGAGCCACAAAAGAGCTACTGAGAATCACTTGACTCCATTCGACCCCGTCGCCAACTTGGCGCATGGTCCAAATATCACGTGTTTCTATAGGAAGAATTATGATGCTGTATTTCTTTTTTATTATTGCGAGAATTATTTGTCCTTTATACAAGACGTGATTCTTTTTGCGACGTTTCTCTATGCTTTTTATTATATTTTGTTTTACATCTTTTAAAATGTAGGATGCGTATAGAAACCTATACAGAAAGGAAAAGATTTATCATAGACCCTTTTTCACATTGACAAATTTATCGAACGCAATGATTCAGTATTTTAATGCGACGCGACGCGACGAGTTTTGTCTTTTAAATCAACGATCAGAGGCCGATTCGCAATCATCGAATCCGAACGGAAACCTAAGAAAATCAATTTACTTTAGAACCCTACTTATAGAACTGCCAAAGAATAATCAGCCTTGAGGACAGAAGTCCTTTCGATTCTCGCCGCGCGTTTGATACTCGCAAAGTTGCGCGGCTGAAGGGAAGAAGACGGTGAACGGAGCGTCGAAAATGTAGTCGATCCGCACGAACGCGTACGACTATGACGCATACGATGGACGAATCCGCATCCGGGTGGCGTAGGAATCATTGAGAAGATCGTCGAGAGAGGATGCACAAGCATACCAGCCAGCTACGCGGTCCAGGTGGCCATAATGGCGGCTATCACGGCGCCGGCAGGGGCCCCGTGAGGAGATGGAACAGCTTTCACGGTGGCAGCGGTGGCGGCGGTGGCGGTGGCGGAGGCACAAATAATTTCAACGATGGCGTCGGGAACGGTGGTATGATCACGAAAGCCTGTCAGGAGCCCTTCAGGGCCGTGCCTAAAGCAGTACAAGCCCTTAGGAGCGAGTCCGTCGACCGGACTCACCGAGCTCAACCACCGCCGCCGCCTGCGTTTCCCAGGAGGAGATTTTCCGTGTGGTGAGTCCTTGCAGGATCATGTTGAGGAAATTACTGTTGTTGATTGCGAGAATTGTTTGTTATCTTTGTATCATAATTACTGTGTATGTATGTGTGTGTGTTTGGCGAGAGAATAATTATCCATTTTTATCGTTTCTCTTGAATGTCCATTAATTTAATGAAAGAAATATTTGCTAATTGCAATTAGGTTTTTGTACATACGATGAAATTGATATATTTTACGTATTACATAAAGTGGATTTTTTTACTAATTGATATACTTTTAATTATTGACATATCAGTCGTAATGAGTCGTAAAAACAGTTTAATTTAATCTTTTTAGTTATTTATCCAAATCTTATTATCTTTGCGATTACAAGTTATCTACGTTTTACTCGAGTATTAGGTCTGAATCACCTGTTGTTTTCAATCTTGCAAGTTGATAAGTAAGTAGTTCAAACCACAAGCTCGGTCTGGTATCGTGAAGGATAGATAATAAATTTTTTAATTCTTTTATGTGAAAAGGAAGAGAGATAATCTTACTTTGTACAAAACGATAATATCGACAAGAAGGCCTGATAACCTAATTTTACTTTAATATTATTTTTCTTTATATTGTTTATTCATTGATTTTTACAGAAATATGCGTACTTTATCTAGAATTAAAGTCCAACTTTTATATATGTTTTTGTTACGATTGTTTTACACAAAATGGTCTAAATATTTTTTGTAATCGCTTCCGTTTTTACTTAAAATATTTTACGAAGAGTCTGGATCACTGTCGTCACGGACACAAAAAAAGGTTCAACTTGTCATCCAGCGGAAGTCCTCGATGGACAATTTCGCGCTCTCCGCTGCGTGAAAGGGGAGCCTAATAGCGCGGTAAATAAGATTAAAAAGGAAGGATAATAGAAAAGATAATAGCTCTAACGGCGTCATAGAAATATTTCATTACGCTGAGTGGATTCACGTGGCTCAGTGTCATGAAATAGTAGAGATAATTTCGCAAAATAGACGTCAACAGGATGAGAGTGAGAAAAATGAGGAGTGAGGCATGCGAGGTAGAGTGACAATGAGACCGCCGGTTACGCCGTTGGTCCCTGTTAAGACCGGAGCGAATTATAACGAGCGTACTGTCCGGGTGTATTTCGGGAAATGGGAACAGAAAGACACGGGCGGACAAAAGTTTGCACCAGAGTTCCACACGCCGCGATGTGTGGAATAAAGCGTGCGCGACACCCGATGCGATGCGCGCGGCGCGCTTTGATTGCTTCCGTTGTGAACGTTGGCGGAAGCATGTTAAAGGTGTACAGTGAATCGCTTGCAAAACTGCTGGAAATATCCATGCCTCTGTTAAATTTCGCTTTCTCTCTGTATTCAGTTACTACGCTTACTGCTTTTTTCAACTACAATTGTAATGCACATAGGATACACAGATTGTCTACAGTTGTATTTCCAATCGTATCGCTTTGCCGAAATCTGCATTCTATGTAACATTTATTTCTTTTATAAATATTTATAAAAATTGTTAAGAATAATTAAAAAAAGAATTTATCAAGATTTTTTTTTTTCATATTTGTCGATCGTTTAACTGAATATTCAACTGATGAAATAACAGTTTAAAAGTTTGGAGAAATAAATTTAACAAAATTAATCGGCAGATTGTTTTCAGAATATTAACAAGATTATAAAATTAGAACTGATTAAAAATATTTTGTTCAATTTCACGTAATTTAATTTTACTTTAGTTTCCGAATAATTTACTAAAGTCATCTCATCTAGTTGATCGGATAATAAGGACGTAATTATCAACAAAACTGGTCCGTTGAACATTTTCTCTGAGATTAACCATTTTTTCTAAGCAGAGGTAGAAATATCGATGTGTGGAAAAAACCTACGTATGTCTAACGCAATAATTTTAATCCTGAGAAAACGAAAAGTGCAGCGCGACGTTTATAGGGTTAACTCGTAATAAGGTTGAGAGATGGAGAAGCCGAGACGCGTCATCCACGTCGAATTCAATTTTCTGCGGTGTACGCACGCACACAGGCGAGACGAGCGAGATGCGTTACGCATGCATTACGCGTACGTTACGCATCGCGGCTTCACTTGTGTGTATAAGTCGAGGGAGGAGCGGGATAACACGCGGGTCAACAGCCTTCAACAACCTTACGGCCTTCTGCAACCTCTCTTTCCTTCTTTCCTCTATCTGCCGTCTCGCTTTTCCGATTCTCGGTCGGTCGAGCATCGACATTCGATTCACGGTCGTCACCGTTAAATCGAGGATTTTCCGTGGTGAACGATACCCGCATGGAAAAATAAAAATAGACGGAGACAAGTGATTTTGTTTAAAGAAGTAATTGTAACTTGTAACTTGTAATTATTATTTTATTTTTCTGAGCATTTTTATATCAATCGAATAGAAAATTAATGTTTTACTTTATTTTTTAAATTACTACATCTAGTTTTATCTTTTATAATTTTTAACAACAACTGATAATTTAATTAGAGATTTTATTTCTTATTTCTCCATGGCGTAAAGATGTTCTGCGATCTGAAAGGTTCAATATTACACTACTCTCTATTGGGAAAAACGATATCGATTTGGTCAATCAAATTTCAACGTCCCCATCTCGTATAACCGCAGGAGATTTTCCTATTTCGTCGAAAATCGGCGGAACCGTTGCGCTTTTATGGCTAATTTGAAAAGTGCCTTTTTCGACAATGGGAAACATCTGTCTCGATGGCTTAGCAGCAAATATTGGTCGTAGAAGTTAATGCGAGGGGCGCAGCCACGAAATAATACCCATTTACACGAACGTGCGAACACATACTCGTATCGTCGTTCGATTCGAGACAATACGAAATTGAGGGGTTGGTTTGATGAATCACATTTTGGAAGCACTCTTTTTGTTTCCATTTGATATACGATACTCTGAAGAAGCCAGAGAAGGTTTCTGGTTCTTGACAAAATGCTGCTGGTCTTACACTCTAGCGAACACATTTCATTTTCTCTTTAAGATTCTCATAATATGTTATCTTATTAGTCAACAAAAATATGTGTATATTTAATTATTTTAATGAAAAAAATTAAAGCTTTGCTTGTAGATTCACTAAATAAATTTTGATGCGGAAACTGATATTTGTACACAATTAAGACATTTTTAATATAAATGTATAATATTTACATAATGAGATCGATTTTTTTTAATCGAAAAATGTTCGGTTATTTCTGTTTCAGCTTCGGGAAGCGGACGGGTGGCAGTGCCAGAAGACCCAACGAATGTTTCGTCCTCGAGCCCTCCGAGATGATTGTCGTAAGTAGATTTTTGCTTTATATTAAGTAAAATAGTATAAGAAACATGGTAGAAGAGAATGCGGTTATTTTTTAAATATTTTTTCAAGAGAAAGTTTAGTTATATAGGAATGCTTTATTTATTTAGTATTACTAAAAAGTTTGATCTATGCATTTTTGTGCATTAAAATTATTTAAAACAAAATTAAAACTGAGCGAATAGTATATTTTTTCGTTGGTTTACCTTAATATTCGAAACAGTTGCGGCAAGCATTTACATATTTTCCGAATGTACGCCTGCGAACTACGCGGCGTAAGCGGTGATATCACGCAGCGAAAAGACAATGCGCTCCGGACGCTTGCGAGACGCAGCGTGGTAGACAGTTAATCAATAGTTTCTCTCTCGCATTATGCTCAGGTTGAGTTTTGGAATCCCTCGTCTCACGCTTCTGTAGTTAGCTCGTTTTATTTCGTTTTCAGTGGCGGTCGATTGCCTACGTGCTAAAATTAGGGCAAACTTTTAGACATGCGAGACTAATGATTCCAAACCTTTCAATAAGCATTGTATCGATCGCAAATTTCGAACCTTAAAATAGCTGTGGAATTTTCACAACGATCGATATTGTAACTTTGGTCTTAGTTAATTTATTGAACTTGTGTTTATAAATGTTTTTAGATATTTCGCATAATGAAACAATGCTAATCGAGATTAAGTTTGAATTCAGTTTGAATTCAGTTTGAATTCAGTTTGAATGAATCTTTCATATTCTGTAATTTATTTCTTATACAATGTTCTTTTCAACAAACTATTATTTTCATGAATTTTAACTTTTATTTAAAAAAATATCTTTTGTTTTTTATATATAAATTCTTTGAAATATATAATACATTATATTTTAAAGTCTGAAGAGAATAAATTAAAAGCGGATAATAAATGAATAATACACGTTATTACATTTTTTCTGCGGAAGACGAAAGGAATGCAACAGTAATATATATAGTGGAATTTTCTTATGCAATAATGGAATATTTTTCAGACCATACGAGAGCATTTGATGAAACGATGATTATTCACATATCTAAATTTAATTACATTTGTAGTTGCTGCAATAATTGTAGAGTTGTATAAAATTATTCTGATATTCCAGGTAAATTTTATTCGAGCGCATGAAGTGGTTAGAATTTCTGGTTTACGCTGCTAATTAAATCGTGGACAGAAAATTAAGTTTCTGATTCGAGCTGCCATCTGTAACGGCACTCTAGCGACTGCTTTACCAACAAATAGCATGACACTACTTGCTGATAGTCGATTAAACCGCACGATAATGATGATAATTATAAACTAAATGATAATTAAAACATATTCTAAATTTGCGCAGAATTTGAAACATATTTTTTGTACATAATTTTTTTTATTTATATAGTTTTTTTACCAAAATTTAATTATAGCAAATAATATTTATAAAAAAAGTAGTCTTTTAGCATAATACAATTTTCAAAATTACAGTTTTACATTTAAAATACACTTTCTCATCTTTTATTTTAATTGTGATTTCATATTTATTTGGAAATTTCGTAAAAAATATTTTTGCTTGACACTATTAAATATATTTCCGTAAAAAAATATTTTGACACTATTAAATATATTTTCTGATTTGTGTGGGCTGCAATAAAAAGGCGCAAATGTTATAGTACATTGGATATAGTCCTACATTCCATATCTAGCAGATTCGATTTTCAATTACGCGCCCGGATTACTTGCGTAGAAACTAATCCAGGTTTTGTATTAAACGACACGTTCTATACCTAATTTTGCGAAACGGTTTACCAATGATTATCAGTCGTAATAACCAGGCACGTTGTTTTTGCTCATATTAAACTTTGAAATTTCGCACACAACCCACACTCATTTGCACAATCTGTTATTTCGAAACGTTAATTATAGAATTAATTCACCTCCCGCCAACGTGTGGATTCTTCGCGAACAACACAACTTTTTCCACTGAATAATCAATATTTTTTTTATACAATTGGGAAACAATGTGATTTGCTGTAGGATTCAATAATGCAGTTTACCTTTTACGTTATCGTTCTCGCAACACACATTCGAGCTAGCTGAAAAACTCACAAAATAGTCCGCTCGAATCAATCGTATTTCTAAAAATATGAACTATGGATGACTTTTGACCCGATTTATTTAATTTTTCCACACGTTTACGTGAGATGTAAAATATCGACGGCAATTTTTATCACGAGGACAAGGAACATTTATCGATTGTAGCAGATTCTGATCGCACATTTGTTGATGAGTGGAATTTCCTTCGACGCAACGTCGGGAAAATATTGATAGCATCCAGGCAGGATGGTACACGCGAGTTCACGTGCGCCCTCAGGCGTCTCTGTGACCTGATATGTGAATTGGACGTCTGACCTTTAACCTTCCTCCCATGGCATCGTAGCACTTTATCTCTGTCGCCTTACTCATATGCGCCATCCGAAAGCTTATTGTGCCGCGCTGCATTACTGATCTCGACGCTTCGAATGAAGAGTAATCATTACCGCGGAATCCACTACTATTTTTTAGTATTAGAGGAGTATTAGAGGAGGAGATTTGCAGACTCAGAGGTAAATTTCGTTTTTCAATTTCAATGAAATAAATAGGAAATAAAGACGTGTTTTTCACTTTAATTTAATTCCTAATTTTGTACGCGATAAACAAGAGTTACTTACTAATAATGCGGTTAAGGAAACGATATACTTGTGGGACGTGTTGCTTAGAACATAAACGCGCGGTGTCGTGTTGCTCAGGATGCGGGCATTAATTGCGTAACCGAATATGCGTTTGCGTTCTATACTTCGATGCATCGTTGGTGCGTGCAATTTTCAAGAAGCTTATCGCCAGTGACAAACAACACATCAGACGTCTTTCGAAGCACGTCGACGCTCGACGCCGCGCTCATGAAGGATAAATCGTCTTTATTCGCTGTGGAACTCGATCATCGATTGAATCTTATTATTCATATCGTACGTATATACGTACTATATAGTTTCTTATAAAATTTTCACGGAGAATTTTGCTATAAATTTCAAAAAATATACGGATAGTAAAAAAAGATAGGTCGATAAATTTAGCACTATATTTTGATTTTATTAGTATTTATCGGTTTTTTTCTGGTTTAGAGAGATAGAACGAGATTTTCATGTAATGGATAAAAATTCCAATTACGCCATGAATATTTGTGAAATATAAAAAAAAGAACATCTTCGTCAAAGCTATGAATGCGCCGATGACCAACGCGACGTTTGCAAATTGTATGTTTATGTGTAGGAGAAACTGTACGAGATTGTCGTTATCGGAAACAATAATTGAAACAAATTCGTTAATCGGTGTTTATCCGCTGCGTATACCGAGCAAGTAAATCGTCAATCACATTCGAGAGACGGCAGAAACTTTCAATATGACGATATCCTTTTTCATGTGAAAGGAAAGTTATCCCTCAAAGGGAAACTTCCTATTTACACGGAAAAGTACGCGCGCAGGCCAATTTCCATGGGAAAACCGATAACCGGAGTCGAATCGATCATTACGGCTACCGTATTCTGAACGAACAAATAGCGAAACTTCGCTCCGGAGACCAACAAGTTGTAGCTATAATACCACTGCGCCGCAAATAATCCGCTCTGCAGACATTTCTCTCTTCCCGATCACGTTCCTCCTACTTTACCGTATCAACTATCGCTAGACTGCTAGCTAGCATCTCGCGGAAACGATGGAAACGCATCCTGGGCGTTCGCGCGTTGACACAGTAATAGGGAAAAGTAAAGAAAAAAATTAATTACGTCGATTGCTGTGCTGCTGCTACGATTTCCGTGCCGGTTCGTTCCGCGCGCGAGCACACTTCGTGCACCTAATTATGCAATTATACAAATTGCGATCTCTGTGTTGCACAATTATTTCTCGTCGAACGGAGATGCGAGCAAGTCTGCCGAGTCGCCTGTTGACGAACCGGATTCGACGTAATACAAACTGGGAGCAATTCGTGCAATTTTCAAGATCGCTTCGATATCAGATTGCGGAGTACACTTTTTTTTAATTCAATGACAGACTTTCGCGTATCGTAAGTGGAATGTTCAACATGCGGATTTACGTAAAATACATCGCGGACGATGCCACATCCGTCATGCGTAAGCGTCTTTGGATAAGGATTCATTACAAGCGCGCAGGAAGTTAAATAAAATCGGGGTTATGACTCGTCATTGATATTACTCAGATTTCAGTTTTATCTTTGGACTCTTTTAACTCGTCGCCATCTTGAGGATGAGGTTTTTCTTTATAGTCTACATTCATAACGCGATTATCTTGAGTTAAATGTAGCTGACTAATCTTTGTAATGTTTATATATTAGATGAGAAATTTATATATAGTATATTAGATAAATGGAGCTTGAAAGCAATCATGTGATTCAGCCTTCTTATACAAGTTACTTTGTAAATCTTTATATACTCCTTCAGACTTTTTAGAAATTTCTAATATATGACATTCTAGCTTTCTGTTCTTCTTGTAATGTAATCAAAATTCTGAATAGCGACGGTGTTAATAATCGGTTTTTGCTGTAAGCTGAGATCTGACAAAAAGTGCGATTGACTTACTACCATGGCATACTTTGGTGTACCGAATAAACTCTGACCTCGTGCCTTCTTGCCTTTTGGCATACTTTACCATACCAGATACTGCTCTGATGTTGTACATTGTTCATTTCAACCGTTATTGCAAAAGATATGCGGGTTTGTTATAGAATAACTGGAATACTTCACGTTGCATATTTAAGCGCATTGCTTGCAGTCTTCAGACATTCTGTTACATATACTGATAAACATTATATTATTATAGCTATCAATAGTATACATTTTTTTAATATAAAAATATGGCGATCATATAAATATTTATTTGCTTGTAATTTTGTCTGTTTAATTAAATATTCGTTCCCGCAGCCAATGTATATACTAAAGCTACTTGTGGTT